GTGGTGATGACAAGCTGCCTTCCCTCTAGTCTTTCACTGCTAAATTAGGGACGGCTAGTGCAAATAGCTCTCGTGTAGCTTTGTCCAAAATTCAAAACAAACGTTTTTCTCTAGCATGATGATCTTGGTATCTAATTTTTTGAAGGTACAGATGCTATTTTTATATACAAACATTTCTATTATTAAATTTCAAATGACACAAAACTGAATAAATTATTTTGTTACAGTGCCATGATTTAAAAAAAATTGGCAACTAAAGCAAAAGTTTCTTAAGACTCTTAAAAACAATTGCATTTGTACATAATTTAGTTTGCTTGTGTTATTTAGGACTTGTTGCTACCTTATATAGAAATTTGTTACAGCATGGCAATAATGGTTATGTAACCATTAGTAGTTTCAAAGCATAATTTTCTTGGTTAATTTCTGGTCTCAGTTTATGTATGAGCAAGCTCCGTTTTATACAGAGGCTCTGCTTATCATTGGCTCTTGTAAAGACCTTAAGATAATTTGAGTGGATGTCTATTTCACACTTGTCTCTAATTGTTTTAAGGTCTTAAAAATTACTAATGGTGAATAGAGCCTGTGTGTGAAAGAGAGCATGATCATACATAAACTAAGAACAGAGATTGACCAAATAAATTATGCTTTTAAACTACTAATGGTAATTTGGAGATTACAATCATTTAAAGGTTTAGAAGACACATAATTCCCTATCTTGCAATGTTCTTTTATCATAAATCCAAACTAACCAGCTGCTAAGGTAAAATATTGGTGATACTGCTAGACAAAATTTACACGATCAAAAATAGGTATGAAGTAGATTAATTAAACAGATAAATAGTAAATTATTTGGAGTGTTTTAGAGATCAGGGTTGGGTACAGAAAAATATCTTTATATATTTACCTTGGTGACTTTTTGTATGTGAAAGACTTGTAATATTAACTGAAAGACTGCCAAATTTCATGAAGATATACCCAATATATATAGTTATAAGTATTAAATTGATGTCAACTTTAAACAAGTACAGAAGGTCATGTGACTCGGTCAAATCGACCGACCCCGTGTCGAAAGATTTAATACAGGTTCAGTGGAACCCCACTCAAGTAGTGTGGTCACATAAACCTTTCCGACTTCTTTTCATAATGACCTGAAAAATTAACCACTGCTGATTTGCATTTATTGTTATTACCATCAAGACTAAACAAAATCAAATGAAAAAAGACAATGAAACATACACAACCTATGCATATTAAATAATTAAATATTTAAAAAACCATGTCTTGGTGCTATTATAACTGCTATTTTTAGAATTTCTGACAACTTAAATACATAAATTTCATCAGTAGATCTACTATTACAGCATCACAAAACATAAATTTACTTAACATGTTTGTTAATAGTATTCAACATGGTTTCTATTTTATTCAAATTTTTTTAAACTAGATAATGGTTTATGAAAGTAATCTGGAAAATAGTTTCATTTGGCAGTTTACAAGATGCCAATTTATGAAAAAAGTGACAATGATTAATTAAAATACTAGAATGCATACATGATGAAATAACATTTATCAATACAATAGTTCATCACACTTATCTTAAAAGAAGTCTGGATGATTTTAAAAAGTTTTACCGATAATGAAGTGGCCTGCTGTCAACAGGAATCTGAATATCGGATCTATGAGAAGTCAAGTCAGTACACTGAGAATTTCCATCTGAAACATTGCTTCCTTCAGCAGACACTAGCTAAAAATTGAGGCATTTGTAGTGACTAAATGAATAATATTTTCAAATAATGCTGATGAAATCAAAATGAAAATCAAAAAAAAGAGACGAATTACATGACCTCAAATCTTAAGACTGTGAAAATATCTAATCTAACTACATTGTATATAAATATGTCAATAATGGTCCAATTTAGCCCTAAAATGACACATTAAACACTTCATTAAACTTTGTCCTTCATATCAACAGATTCTAAGTTACAAATATTCAAACTAATGTTTACATTCATCTGGAAAATACTTTAGACAAATGTTTGAGTTGTAATTTTTAAATAAAGTATATATTTTTTACTGCCATTTCTTTAATACAAGTTTTTGTTAGTAAATAATGGGTAAAAAAAATAGTTTAAACATTTGTTAGAGAATCTTTACGGTTTTGAATTATTACCTCCATCACCCAAGGAGACTGAGATTATGTTTTCACCCCTGTGTGTTTGTAAGCAAGATTTCTCAAAAACAGCTGAACAGATTAGGGCAAAAGTTGGTATGCAATTTGACTATGACCCAACTTAGAATTTATTAGTTTTGGGAGGGTCAAGGTCACAAAAATAAAATTCATTGTCCTGCCAAAAATTGTCCATGTTTGTTGATAATAGGTATTTTTTTTGAGAGCCGAATATGATCAACGCTGTGTGGTGGAGGTATATACTCTACTGAGTGCCCCTCTAATTTTAATAAGGTATGAGTACTATTAGCCAAAAAAACTACCATTTCATCATTCATCTTTTAAAGCTACTCACGAGAAGTGTTATGGTATAAAGTATGAAACATAAAATATACCCTAACGCTAATGATTCTATCATTGAAAAAGGAGCACAGGTATAACACTACTCCTCCCCCCACTAAGGTGTACATTTAATTATACAACAGGTGACTGATAATAACACTCTCTCTCTCTTGTAACCTTCTGTTAGTTCAAGGTCTGTACTTATTTTCTAATCAAACTGTTAGTATTACTCCCATGTAGCATCAAATACATCCACAAGAAGAAAGAGAATGCATATATATATATATATATATATATATAAACATGATTACTGTTCTATATAACATATTTTTCAACTACATTTAAATATTTTATTTATATAGACTAAACATTAAATAAAAGTGGTTTTCAATCAAGTATAAACTGGTAGTTATGGTGATATTATCGGTAAATTATGCCAATTAGTATTATTGAACGTTCAAACCTTCATTCGGTAATGTGTTTCAAACCTCCAAGAGTCAAAATCAACCCTTTGTTACAGCCATATTACAATAACATCCAATATAAATTTAAAACCATAGGGAACATAAAAATACAGCATCTTTTACCTATGACAGCACTATGTGCTCATGGGATTTCTTTTATACCATTCCAGTGCTGAACAAAAACGTTCCTGGTTAGTGGCTTGTACCAGGAAAAAAAAAAAAAGAAACTAAATTTGAGAAGTATATTTTGTTGCCCCCCCCCCCCCCTGTTTAAGATTCATAATGGTGTAACTAAGGGAAGTGTGACAAAACCATCCACTGTAAAATAATATTTTTACTGCATTTTTCAGGCCTACAAAACTTTCTTGCTTTACCAGTTTACAACATTAAATTAAATTTACATGTACAGAAAATATGAATATTATAACACCCTTGAATTACTCTTTATGACGTTTGGATATCACAAGTTTATACTTACCCAAGACACTACTCTTCCATTGAAGCAGGGTAATTTGGCATCATCATCTATAATTTCTTCTTTAACCACCCTATAATAGGATAACATGAATTTAGAGTAAGTAACACACATACTCATAAACATGCTTTCAATTATTTCCTTACATTTCAACAAGTGACCATACAACATTGACAAGTAGCAAAAATTATAAGGGGAGAAAACACAAATAGCTCGACACTTCTTTTTTTTGAGGGGGGGGGTTCATGAGTATAGATGACCTTTTCTTGACCATCACTGTTGCTTTGAAAGTTAAGTTTTCAGTGTTTTAGGCAAAAAAACTTTAGCTAAAATAAATTTCTCACACAAACAAAAAGAGAGCAAAGACAGCCACTACAGGATACTTTATTATAAAAATTCAGCTGTACTGTTATGTGTGTAAAAACAAAAGGCAACCATCAAAAGAACAAACAGATGAGAAGACTATTTATTAAAACCACATTTTTCGGAACAAAGCTACAAAGTCATTAAATGATCCTACTTTAAGACGATACTGCAGTGGTTTAATCTTTATACATGAAAATAAACCATACTTAAGTTCATTTATGTATTGGTGAGTTTAATTTATTCATATTGCTGAATCAGTAATTGAAGAACCTCAGAAATAAAAAAATCTAATTTAAGATTTCTTTCAAATGTAGTTACCCTGAACGCGTAAGTGGTAGCCTAAAATTCACTGCTACAGGAACTATTTTACAATTCCAAGATTTAAACTAACTTTTTACTTGAGTCATAAAATTCTGCTAAAGTTTAAATTTGATTAATTAATATCAGTCAATTTTAATATTTATATGAATCAAAGTTTTTTTCAAATAACAAAGAATGATACAGAAAAAATATTTAACCGAACAAACACTCGTATAATTAACAAGACAGAAAAAATTTATGCGAGTAGGTGTACTGTAGCTCATTATTCACTACTGCCTCCTATATTCAATTATCTTAAAATACATAATTGTAAAGCTTCAAATTCTACAGAATCTTAACAGGGACTCTTTAGAAACTTCTGCTGAAATGAACACCCACAAATGTTTTTAAAATTTGAAGTCATACAGTACAAGCCCAACTAGTCTTAAAAAATACACAAACAAGGTTCCATAAATGATAAATTTGTTGTGCAATATACCTTCAGTCAGGCATCCTTTGCTTAATAAATTAAATTACTTTCAACATGCACAAAATTTGAAAAGTTTTCAAATTAAGTGGAAAGACGTTGTTATAATAATATTAACAAGTGAAGAATTAGAGTGATTAGCTAAGTTGTGAAAATCATTTCGATCTCTCACTACTATTCTAAGCTGCATATCAAACAATCTTAATACCCAAAACTCTTTTAAAACATGAAGATAGAAATATTGTAGTGAATACACTACTGTGGTATCATAGTTTCATTTTCAAAGAAGAGCAAGAGATCATCTAGCCCATCACACTTCCTACTACCATCCTTCACATTTCTTAATGAAGTATTTTTAATGAAATAAAATAAAGTTTTGTTCATGAACATACTGAGTATTTGTTTTGAATAGTCCTTGTGCAAAGTAATTTTCATGTTAAAATTAAAAATACTTTTTGTCATCACAAAAATCTCAAATTTCCTTGGTGTGATTCTTAAAACCTCCTAAATGCATTTCAAACTTTTTTTCCACTAAATCCTTATAGTTTATGTTATTTTCTCTATTAAAGAATATTACTGTACTGAAACATAGTAATGGAGTTGATATTTTGCTTCAGATGTTATGATGTATGATTGATCTTGTAGAAAAACTATCTAAAAAACCAAAATAAAATAACTGTTTCTTAAGTTTCTCACCAATATTCTACATAATGGAATTAGTAAATCAAAACATATACATGTTTCACTCTCATTTTAATCTAAAAATGTCTGTCCATTTAGCTAATGATGACAAAATAATATTAATTGCTTAGAAATACAGTGACACTTTTTTTTATATTCAAGTAGACAAGAAAACAAGTTTATGTCCATTTAGCAAAATAAATATGAAGTTTTCAGTTTAATGTTATATGCATTTTAAGCACATATTTTACCAAATTTGAAGGTTGTAACTAAACCAAGTTAATGCATATTTTTCATGCTAGATGAATTCAAGTCTGAATATTATGTTATAAATCTACATGAAAGGAACACAGTTGTTGATTATGAGTCATGACTAAATCAAACAAAGTGGTATTATTTGAGGAGCTTACAAGACAGAAAACAAACTTGGAATAATCTACTATGAATCAAATGACATGCACCTACAAAGTACATCAGTAACCAAATTTAATATTTCTTTATTTCTAACTGATTATAATGCTTTTTTTTGGCTTGGTTGTTCATTGTTAAGAACTAAGTTATGCAATTGGTTATCTATGCTGCTGTGCCCACCAGTTTATATCATTGTAAGCCTTCAGACTTACCAATGAGTCACTGGTAAACTTTTCATAATTTATGTCTTATGTCAATAACTCATGCAATTTCTTTAACTTAAATTTTATATTTTAGATATTAAGTACTCAGATGGTGATCTTAATGTATTATTAATACATTTTGATGAAAAAAATCTCATTCATGCATAATGTGTGTAGAATATTGGGCATAGCTTG